CTTTAAGAAAGGTATCACACTTTGTTTCCTTCTTTCGGTCCGCTTGACCGGGGCACCGTCTTTACTCTCCATAACAAGACATAAATGCCACAGAAGAGGTTCTGATTTTTATTTATGTGGCAATTTTTACAAGGTTACGGTAATCTTTGGAGAAGGAATCAGGATAAGAGGAGTCAGCAGTCAAATCAAGCGGAAGGATTAAGGGTTTACAGCGCTCAAAATAAGACTTAAATATTGCAATTTAATAGTGTTTGACAATTCGTGTGTTGGGTTGAATTTCTATTATTAACCTTAAGATTAATCTATTTACAAACTTTAGGTGCTACAATTGCAATTAAGAATGATAAATAAATATAACACGCCTTAGTTTTTCCTTAATCTTCTCTGAATTGCGTGAATTATTCAACGTGCACGTTAATCTTAATGTGATGCGTCACGATGGCGGTGTTTTTCTTTGAAGCTTGATGATCTGTATTAGCAATACAAGTAATACCTTTACAAAAAAAAGTTGCCTGACGAAGCAGTTAATATCTATAGAACATGTAAGATGATAAGAAATAAATGTTTCCGTCCATTTTTTGAAGTTGGGGGGGGGGATACTATTTCATTACCTTACATTTTTAAGACCTTATACAAAACATGATGTTTTTTTTATCTTACCTCTTTGTGACCCAAAAACCCCGGATAAAGTAAACTGTGTTCCCAAACTCGAAAATCCTTTTTTCATATGTGGGGGGGGGGGGGGGCGGAAGATTCTGTAACTAACTCCTTGGAACATTTTTTTTCTAAATGCTGAAATTTGCCTGTGTTCAACTGTACAGTAAAAAAGTGGGGGGGGGGGGGATAGGGGTTGGCGGTTTCAAAATGACAATTTACATAGTATAAAATTATATCAAAAAGACTAAGCTTATTCTCAGAAAAAATGGGGCAAGCTCCCGCCGCGTACTAACTACTAATTATAAGGGTCTACAGTATAGGAAGTAAGAACATTTGTTAGATGTCACAATGTTAGATGCAGGCAAAATGTATCACACCAGTTAACCAAATGTTGACAAAAGATTATCATTATAAAGTAAAACTGCATACAATTTACCTTATTAATGTGGAGTCTATTAAAAAAAATATAGACAAAAGATTGATCGATTGATTGAATATTGTGTAACGTCCCATTCCAGAATTTTTCACTCATATAGAGACGTCGTATATGTTATGATATTGAAAAAAAGAGAGAGAAAAAAATCTGATCATTAAGAATGAGGTTAAAAGAATAAACTTGATTAATTTTCATGGTAATTATCACACCCTTTTAATAGAACAATCCAAGATAATTTACTCGTGACATTTGGCGTGAAAGGGTCTTGTCACCGCTTTCGTAGAAGACAAATGGACTAATTCAATAGTTTAGAAACACAGAAAAACTGTTACGGACATGTACGAAAAGGAAATCGCAAAGAATAAAAGAATAAACAAGTGCAAGCAAAAAAATTGAAGGAAATAAACACATCAATATTTTGCTTCAGTAATATGATTCTTCTTCTGCAGACTGTTTTTGTTAAAATACAGGTAACAAAATCTAGTTTCGGACCATGGAAAAATTGATCTTTATACTGTCTGACGCTCGTGGCGACAGGTAACAAACGGGACTACGGTTAGGCGGAAATCTGATTCAATATTTCAAAAACACGAATATTTTCCTACTATGAATTTGGGATTAGTATTTATTTGTGAATGTAAAATGTCAAATTTTCTCAATCAATTTAAAATCTTATTCCACACAGAATCTATATGTTACTTTGATCCAATCAAAAAGGAAAAATCGCAGTTATGGAAAACTGATGCTGTGTTGGATAAATTCATCGAAACCTGTATTCTTTCCCAGCATAACTTTTTTTTGTCCCTTTCAAAATAATTAAGCCAATGGTTCACAGTTGCAGCATCCATTAAGTGAAATTCGACACCCACCCTCCTTTCCACTCTTCACGTGCAAACTCAAGTCCATGTTTTAGTGTTTTGATTTTTTTTAAACTCTTCTTAAATTCTCATTGCTGACGACTTACCCACATCTCTTTCAGTTTGTTTTTAATGTCAGATTTTAATAAGAAAATAAAATCCGTGACATGAAAGTCCATAGAAGAGCTGTCTGTAACGCCTGTATTTGTATCTAGGTAACTGAGATTTTGAATCTCCTCAAATATATCAGGATCAATCTCCATGACCTTAATCTACAAGAAGGTTAAATCGTCCTCCTCATCCGTTAAGAAATTAGAACTCAATTTAAATCGTCCACCTCATCCGTTAAGAAATCAGAACTCAAGTCAACTGTCTACCTCGTTGTTGAAACAAATCTGACTGAATCCTAGGTTGTCCGTGGAAATATACATGTATATACTGCGGATGCTGCACAGCTAAAATTTTTGATTGATCGTGTCACAAATCATTTAGAGAACGAGACGGGTTCTCCCTCGTATGTACAAATTTGGGGGAGGAGATTCGAGTTATGCACTCGTCCACCCCCAAATTTGTATCTACGATAGAGAACCCGTCTCGTTCTCTCATAATTTCGATCCTCCTATTTGTATTGTATCCGCTTTTTTGTTGTCTGTGTATTGAGAGATGGTAATATTTGGCACGGTAAGCTGACTGTACATCGTGGAATGAATAGGATTTACAATGAAGCATTATTTGCTATTATCGGTTGAGTATGAATTTTTTCCCTCCAGAAAATCTAACAGGGACGGAATAAAATTTCTTTTTGAAAATAATTTACTGTTAACGTGTCATGCAGAGAATTTTATGAATACAATTGTCATATCCATCTACATGTATCAAGTCTTTTTTTTTTTTTTTTTTTTTAAATTTTTATCACATCATTTCATGAATAACAAAATTCGTATAACATATGTATGCTTTTTATTTTACTTTATCTTTTGAAGGAAGTAAAAACATTTTCAAACATTTTTTAAGCATTTAGGCGCAAACTGCACCTAAGGATTGAAGGGGAAAAATCTTAATTATATTTACAATGTATGTCCACAAAGTAGACAGAAGAATGAGATTTAATTGCAATGAGAAAATGAACGTTATTGAAACACTAATTTTTGTTATTTGATGGTTTTACAGATCGGGCACACGTAAGCATATTTTAACAGGAAGCATTTTTCTGCTTCTTGGTAATTTGTACAATTTAAACTGAACGCTTATATATAGGAACCGTATACTATATACACACCCTCAAACATTAACTCTAAAAAATCACCTTGGACATCCATTAGGAAACACGGATCCCTCTTTTAAAAAACGGTAAAGAGGGTCATATATTAAAGAAAATTGACTTCCGAAAGTTTCTTCTCCAACCCCCTATAAAATACATGTAGTTTGAGGAAGGTCAATAACTTTTTTTATTGTCTGACGTGGACACCCCCACCCCACCCCGGAAAAAATCCTGGATCCCCCTTGCAGTATTTGATCACATGTACTAGTGTTTACAATCACATGTATTTCCAATCGATAACTTTTCACTGATGTATCAGAATCAAATTCTTAGAGGCTATGTTTTACTTTCTCCAATAAAGAAAAAAGGGTATTAACCATGTCATCTCAATAAAAAAATTTAAACATACCCCCCCCCCCCCCCCCCCCAAACCTTTCGTATGAATTTGTGAAATAACAGGGGAATAAAAGGGGAACGAGACTATATATATATATATATATATATATATATATATATATATATATATATATATATATATATATATATATATATAGGATCTCCCATGATTTGTAGTTGGATATGATTTTTATCCAACGAGTTGTGTGTTTTTTATCCCCGAGCCTTGGCGAGGGGATAAAAACACATAACGAGTTGGATAAAAGTCATATCCAACTACAAAGCATGGGAGATTCTTTTTATCCCATGTTTAATACTTCACAACCAATGTTTTACACTGTTTTATATAGGACTCCACTTTATTTTACTTCATCGCGCTAACGCAAAAACCATTGTGACGTCACAACTGTGGTGGATTATGAAAAAATTATCCAATGGGTCATATCCACGGGATAAAGGGGTAAACATGGGATATATATATATATATATATATATATATATATATATATATATATATATATATATATATATATATATATATATATATTATATATATATATATTTATATAGAAAACTTGGTCATAACTTTTGTACGAATGATTTTCGAAATGAAATGTGCATTACATATTCCTGTGAAATATCTTTCTGAATATTTTACAATTTTTGACCTTGATTTAGCCGCTTCACTTCACTTCTTCTGCTTCATATTTCATATGGGTGTATGGCTTTTCCTACCAAGTTAACAGGGGCCAGCGGTTTCTAGGGGGTCCAAGGTCACTTATAGTTGCTTTACTATTAATATACATTTTTAAAATAACTGCAAATTCCAGGGGGGGGGGGGTCCGGCCCCCACCCCCCTCCCCTCTAGATCCGCGCATGCCTAGTTTTAGTAAAAAAGAGAGCCCTTGGGCCAAGGATACTCTGTGACAAATTTGACCAAGGGGTTCTTGAAATATAGCCTATATTTCCAAAATTTTACGCACACCACACAGATGGTCATAGCATTAATATTAGCGCTTTAATTGAGACTTTGGCTCAGAAGAGCTAAAAACTGATATTATGACCTTGATGTTTGACCTGCTTATAAACATTAATGTGGCCATGCTCATTCAACAATGTTAGCTTTTACGGAACATTTGCCATTAAATTTAAAGTCAGAATGGTAAAAATCAGGCATGGCTACATTATTGCAGCTAGATGTACATGCATGAAACTCAATGTGAGCAATGTGTATCACATGTGAACTTCAAAAATACACAACTTTTATGTTGGACAGACAAGACAATTACATTAAACAATAGATCAATGCACCATAGCCATTAAGACTCAACAGTAAGGAACCTCAATTCTCGGAATTTGCTTGTTATATTTTTTAAAGAAAAACAAACCTATATAATTTGATTTCAGATGTTTATTTCTGTCTTCCCATACATACTCTCATAGCAATAAATAAAAGATATACAGAGGACATAAGTAAAACCTGGATGGATTAATTACTTCACAGAATAGTGAGATTATCACAGAAATAAAACGTTAATTAATATCACAGTAACTAAAATAATTATAATACTCTAAATTAACAATTAATAGCAGTTATAATTAGGCTCGTTACTTTAAATCAACTTTCATTCACTTAATGGAATGTGCCAAAATAATTCTTACAGAAAAGAAGAAGCAAATTGAAGACATGTCTGCTCTCAATACCTTCGTTCATACCCTTGGCAGTGCAAAAGATGTTAAAAAAGCATTTATAATGAATCAATATTGGTGTACTGGTATATGGTCTTAGTTTTTTTTTAATTACTAATGCAAATTCTCAATATATTAAAGAAATTCTTAAAATTATACTCGTACAGAATAAATTTAATCATATAGAACTAATCTGTTAAAAATATTGTATTCTATTCTAATTATACACTCTGTATGAAAAGGTTATAATTACAGAATTGTAATACTACATTTGCTCCTATGTAATATATGTTTTAAACAAAATCATATCTCTTAAAATATATTTTTTTAAAAAAGCTACCTACCAGAAACCTTTGTTCCCTCATAAAAATAGATGTAACTTATTTCAAACGTAAGGTGTATATGTATTGTCCATTGAATGGGGGTACTGGATCATTTGAATTCTATGCAAATGTGAAAAGCTTTTAATATAAATTATACTTGTATACAATCTTCTACTAAATTTAGCTTGTCAAGGCATGTCTTTAAAATGTGAAGTACAATTTTTCTGAACTAAAACATTTATAATTTCCCAGAAAAATGTACATAAGTAATGTCTTGTTTAACATTTCATCATGTATAAAAAAATGTTCATAAATAAAAGTTCAACATTATAAATTCACCTTTGTACAGCGATAAAACTTTTCATCACATGACTTCTGTTTTTAACAAGAAATTGGTTATTTTCAATAAAATCTTACTTAAAGCAGTCTTAATAACTAAATGTATTATTTTACTTTCATAAATATCATGCTTATTAATTATAATTAGTACTTGTAATTCTTCAGATTCTCTTTAAACAACCAACAATACAACCTACATCATTCCTACTAGACCTTTAACTGCATAACAACATTTGTGACCCTGATACCTCAGTACTGCATGACCCGGGACGTGGACACAGAGGGGGAGTGGGCCATTGAGTGGGACAGGGTCCTCATGTTCTCGGCCAGCTTCTCAAACTCCTCCCACTTTTGACTCTGGACCGTGGACTCCAGTGTCTTCAGATGCTCAAGGTCCTTGAGTTTGACCTCCATAGTTTGCACCTGTGTCCTCAACAGAACTATCTCTTTGTCTTTCTGCTCAAGCTAAACAAAGACAGGAAATACAGATTCATAATATTATGCATTAATTTAGGTTTGGGATTGCAGCGATTTTCTACAGTCCATTTAGGTCCAAATATAAGCCCTTTCCCTTGCCAAAATTAAAGAATTTTTCCCAATTAAGCTAGGACTACCCCCCCCCCCCCCCCACACACACACACACACACACCTTTTTTGGAAAAAAAGCTTTTGGTTTATGTGATTTACAGATAATTTTTCCATCATTTTAAATTGTTAAAGAGATGTAATACAAAAGATGAAATCAAATACAGTGTAAATCCTACTGTATGCATTACTTACTTGAAATGATTTATCAACCTTACAGGGTATTTACAACGATATAGTTTTTTTCCCCCAGTTTGTCCACAATTTTTCCCTATTCAAAAGCCAAAGGCACCTTTCTAAAAATGTTGAAATATCACTGAATTGTCAAGGATTGGTAAAATTGTACATTTCTATAAATGAAATACTTTCTAACTCAGGAATCTGAATAGTACAAAACTTTTCAAACAGAATTTGCAATTATGAAAAAAATATTATTATGAATGGACTATGAGTATCTGCTTTATTTCCTTGGTGCTATATAAATGTAGTGACAGTGGATTGTCTTACCTTCCTCTGTAGCTCAGACACATGGTCCACCAGTAGTACTTTATCTTTGCGTAGCTGCATGTTCTCCTTGTCCACACTGCTATGTAAGCTCTCAAGCTCCACCACTCGACTCCTACTAGTATTCACCTCTAACTCACGTGTTGTCGCTAGAGATTCATACTTTGTCAGCTGTTTTGGTGAATAAAAATTTTTTTTTATTTGATTTGTGTCTGAATAAAGGAACTTAAGTTCATACATTTGATCAACTAAGTATTCCTATGAACACTTAAATTGGCATGCTTTTTATTCTTTGAAAATGAAAGGCAAAATCTTTTAAGTCACAACAAAGTGAGATAACTCCTGCTTTACCTGATCTAGAAGGTTCCGGGATTTTTCTTGTTCTTTTTTCAATAGTTCCTGTGTATGTTGCAACTCAAAGCGAACCTCTTTCTCCCTGTCTTTGATCTGGACGTACTCTGAAATGCTCTGATTCTGACGAGATTCTGTGGCCTCTCTGTAAGCCTTCTCCTGTAGACATTATAACACAACATCTGAGATAGCTCAACAAAAGTGAGATATAATGGTCAAAAATATCAGCTCTATCTTAATCTGTTTTCTTTCCTACGGTTCATTTCTTTAATTTCTCTTTGTTACACTTTGTTAACTCACTCTTTCTAACTGTTTCTTTAAGTCAATCATCTGCTGGTTCAGTGCTGCATTTTCTCTGGCAAGATTGGTACTGTCTTCTGTAAGCTTGACTTTCAGGAATCGGTCTTGGTCAGCTGCCATTTCTGTCTCTTTAAACTTTTGTCTCAGAAGTTGGATCTCTTCCTACATTTCAAAATTTATGTTGTATGTAATTTTTTTTTCAAATTTTTTTAAATTTAACTACCTATTTCTATGAACTTTATTGTTACACAATTTTCAGCAGACCACATAATCAAAAAATAAAATGCATTTGTTAATATTTGGTACAAAATCATTAGCAATCTAGTTTCAACAGTTTTCTCTTTGCTGCAAAAATTATTCTTTTTTTCTCCCTTAATTCAAATGTAGCCAAAGGGTCCACCACAAGCATATACGTACATGACCCATGTATGTAAATTAATGAGCATAATTTATGGAGCTTTATTTTCTGCTAATTACTGGTCTTTTCTTTATTACATCTAGCTCTTAAAGATTACTGGTGAAATATCTCCAACACACCCCTGAGGGATCATATTGGATGTTGTTCAAGAAGAATAGTCTTGTTATATTTTGTGACCTTGACCTGTATATTACCTTGAGATCACTGGCGACCTTGTCCTGTAGTTGTAGTGTCTGGTTATAATACTTATCCTCCACTTCTTTCATTTGAGTCTCCATACTTAGCAGCTCGGAGCGCTTCTCATCCAAGGCGATCTGAGCTAAGTTGTGGGCCTCAATTCGTTGTTCTAGCTATAAAGAAATTTTTCTCACTGATCTTATTCACTGTTTTTGTAAAACAAGATTTATCCAATACATGTATATAAGCAAAATAAAATAGAAATCTTAGCTATGTTTACCAATAACTATTTGTAATAGATGTCAGAACTCATATTTTTTTTATTTAACATACATGACAAACCTTTGACAAAAATTTCTCAAATTTTTTTTTTAATTTATTACTATAGGAAAATTTTGAAAATTTAAGCCTACCTGAGTTCTTAGAGTGTCAATTTTGAGTTCTGCATTTTTCAGTGCTGTAGAGCTTTTGTCCAGTTCTGATTTAGCATCCATCAGCTGTGCATCTCGCTTAGCAATTTCACGCTCCATTACATCTTTGTCCTTCTTTAGCTGGACAATCTCATCCATCAACATTCTCTTGTCCCGTGTCCTGGAAGCTGGTTATAGTCAAAAAAAAAAAAAAAATAAAGCTAATAAAAATATTGAAACTTTTGCAAGAATATCCCTTCCTGTGGAGGGCTGACCTATGTATTCTCTCTGTTTGGAATAAGAATACAACTGTACATGGTGATTTATTACCTTCTTCATCTGCCAGTCTCTCCATGATTTTCTCTTTCTCTGTTTTCAATAAAGCTATATCTGTTTCTTTTCTTTTGACCTCCAGCTGTAGATCATCAATCTCCAGCTGCATGGACTGAATCAATAATGAGAGGGAATTAATTTGAGTGGTAATTTTCACATACAGAAAATGCACATTTGATTGTTGAAATTGGCTATTAACCTAAAATAATCAAACCAATTGAAATAAAACTGAATGTGTACTACAGATTTTATTTTCTAATGAATGGTCAGTAAAACTCAATGAAAGCAATGTGCTGAGATTTAAAAAAATGAGTTTGTCTAACAAGACCCTACCCTGAGTTTTGTCAGCATTCTCTCTGCCTCTGCAGTCATCTTAGGATGCATTTCTGTGGCTTTTTTCAGCTGTTCTCTTGTAGAATGCATTAAGGAATGCTAATGCAATAAGGAGTTATGTCCCTCTGCTAGGAGACAAATCTTCTTTAAAATACAAACTGTTCATTTTCAAGGATGATTTTTAACAAATTTAGCACTGTTTGGTCTATTATATCTGCTTTAATTTTATCTCCATATCCTGACAGAAAATTGTCATAAATAGAGCCACCATTTTAGTTTGCAGATTTTTATTTGTTCTTATTTTGAAACCCACTTTGATAATGATTAACATTCAGACACATTATTTGTATTGCACCTCCATTTTAATAGATCTTAACCCTCTATCATGATTTGAAGAATAAATTCCATATTCACAGTGATAAGGTAATTATATTTCTAAAGGATATAAATAGTTTGATTCCAGTTCTAAGAAGTAGATTTGCTGCTGGAGATTTTTGATGTACTCCCCTTCCACATTCTCCAGCATTGTACTTCTCTGTGTCTTCAAGCTTCTACAAAAAAAATATTCATTATCTTAGTGTATCCAGAAAATCTCTTCAGGTTCTTAAAATAAAAAAAAAAAATTCTAAGCTACTACGATGATTTTTGTAAAATATTTAAAAGCCAAAGATGACATTGTATCCAAGATGAATTACAGGTGAGAAGTGAGATTTTTCTGGGGGGATATTACAAGAGACCTTACATACCCGGACCCTCCCAGGGTAGCAGCCAGGGAACCAGTACTCTTTCTGAGGTTATTATTAGTTTTCTGGGCTTTCTTGCTGGACATGGTTGGAACTGAGTGCTGGACATCAGTCAGATAGGAACCTGAACAAAATCAAATAACACTGTACAAACTGAAATACAACATAGTTAGGAATCTGAAAAAAAGCTTAATTTCTAAATTTGCAATTCTTAAAAAAAAAAATCATTGTGAATCATTAACTTATATTGAGTATAGGCATGCAATTTTGGATTTTATTTTTCCATACTTCTTAAAAAGGCACAGAAAAAAATTATACAGTATTATGATATGATACATGACATCATGAATATTTATCAACATTATCAATGACTTACTATTAACATTACATTAACACAATAATATCATTTGACAATATCATTCCTCCAAAAAGGTTTGCTGGTGTTTTTTTTTTGAAGTTGTTGAGGGTTTTACTCTACTCATGCAATTAGATTCACTCTTTCAAGGAATGTTATTTGGTAGCTAAAAGTACCACTAGGGCTTGTTAGAAAACTGTGTCAATTTAGAAGTGAACAACATTCCCTGTTTACAACAGTATCAGCATGCATTTTTTTTTCAAATAAACACATCAGTAAAACCCCTGTCATGAAATGTGCCGCATTTCTCAGATGATGTGCTTGATTGAGTTTGTTTAATTAAGTTAGGAAACTGAGTGAATAGATTGCTCTTTTACAAGTGAGAACTTTACTTTCATCTCCATCCTCTGAAAAAAATGATATGTGTGTTACCAACATGCAATCTCACACAGGAAGTTCTGAGTACAAAATTAATGTTTTTTTAACAATATCTAGCGGTACAAAAGCAATGAAGAAAAAATTAAGCACTGGAGATTATCACATCACTTATAAACCTGGTAAGCTGTTTTAAAATGTTTTAAGAACTAGTAGAGCATAAGCTATTAAGTATGCAAGTACCAGGTTTACTGAAGCTAACATTTACCTTTCTTAGACGTAAGAGAGCGAGCACTGGTGAGTCGAGATGGTGAGGGACTACGAGATCTCAAATTTTGACGAGATGGTGAGGGACTTCGGAGTGACCTGCTCCATTCAATCACATCAGGACTCTGTGAACCAATTGGCTCACTTATTCTCCCTCGCTCAGTCATGTTTAATTAGGTCACAGATAGTAGTCAAGCAAGCAAATGTTTCAGAAATGTGCTTTGTGCCAAATATGTACCTTCATGTACAACATGCACAACACTGTTCCTTCCTGACACCAAGAAAAAAAAATCGTGTTTCTACAATGTATGTTTGATAGCCTTTCAATCAACTGTACCATATATTCTATAACATCTTTTGCTGCAGACACACAAAACTATGTTATGTACCTAATGTCAAAAGTGCAGATCAGCTGTCAGTGTTGAAATGCAATGATTGCGAACATACAGAGGATGGTGAATCCTTTTTCTGTATAATATCAAGCTTACAAACCTCCAGTGTGTTTCGGTGACGACTTTAAACTTGCTTGTTTGCCAAAGGTTGATGATATTCTAGACATATCAAAGGAAAAAATTTACATGTATGGACGCGGCATCGGTTGAGAGGCAACAACATCAGAGCTAGACTCTTTGATTTCGTATTCACGCAATTTTACAAAAATTCTATTTAAAATTATAGAGACTTTTACCTTTACTGACAATTTCATGTGTATATATTTGACTTTCTCGCTATTTATTTAGTTTTGTGCCACAATTTACGAAACTATTTGTAAACATTGTGTTATCACGTGACAATCTGTGGAAATATGGCCTTCCTTCAAGTAGGTGTTTTACTTTGCGTAAATTTGGGTAAAGCTTCTGGTTTTCTGAAGAAAAGTCAGTTGTTAGCTAACTATCCCAGGGATTGTTAACGTTTCAATGTGTGTGATGCATAAAAATTCTAATGAAATAAGAGATAGATTTGTAAAACAGGGGAAATCAAAAGCAGCATGCATGCAGTTTATAAAATGGGGCTCCTTATAAACCGGCTTACATTGTTTTTTCTGATTAAATATACAGAAAACCTACCAAAGTGGAAACTTATTTATCCTTATTGTCTATTATAATTTCATTTTAGTGGAGAAGATTTAATTTTTTTGACAAGGAGGTTCTGAAAGATCCAGAGACAGACCAGGTGTATGACAAATTAAAGGTAAAGAATTGCTCCAAAGGGATGCATGTATTATAGGCAAGACTGGTAATAATAATTAACACCAGTAATTTATACCCATTTATTTAGATACAAAGCTTTTTTATGTTCAAAGATGTGATAAATTGCTGCAACCTAACTGTAACCACAGGGGTCAGCAGTTTTATCCATAAAGCAACGTAAATAATAACCAGTGAGCTTCGTGAGCATAGCGAGTGAAACAACAGGAATGCAACACTTTTTTCTGCTCTGGCTCTTTATTTAATAAAATTAACAACAACACTCGGTATAATCAGAGATTTTCCACTGCCCCGTGTAGGGCCGAATATAGACCCCATTCCCAATTGCAAAATCCCTCCCTTTTTCCCAAAAATGAAGTCACAAAGTTGACTTGATCAAAGTTCTGGAAAAAAAATATGGTCAGGTTTGGAAATCTGAATGAAATGAACAAAATTTTAATTAACTTGGCTAAAACTTTATTATAATTGAGCTATTCTCTGATTTACAGATCTGAATAATTAACTTAAAGATTAATTTTATTCATCATTATTAAGTGTTTATTTCTTTAAAAAAAAAAAAGTCAAGCAGTTTCAAGGAACTGGGCCCCAAAATGGAGTGGATAAACTCTGATGATTTACATCAGTGGATGTTTCTAACCTGATTTCTGGTCTGAGTGCCCTCTCAATAGCCATACACAACCCTTAAACCCTAAAGGCAGATGCTTGAAATTTTAGCACACTCTGTTTAGGCATGCCATATGGTGGGATTCATTTTTTAACGAATCAGATGTCAACTTCTTGTTTATCCACTTGTCTGTTCGTACCAAATTTCCTTCACAGTTTTCTCAGGAACTACTCAAGGTAGATGCTTGAAATTAAGCACACTCTTTGTTTAGGCATGCCATATGGTGGGGTTCATGAGAGTGTATATGCACATCAGAGTGGGGGTATTATTAGTGAGCATTGGCTCACAGACTTCTTGTTTGGATTTATACCAGTCTTTGTTTATTTCTTTGCCATAAAGAATGTACTTAAGTTTTAATCAGTGGTAATTCTTTAATTCTTTTGTTGCTTACAGGATGTGAACATCTCAGCTTGTGTGAGTGGGAGGGGCCAGATGATTGTGGGGGACCATGAGGGTTATGTGTACATGATTAACAAACAGCTCAGCCTTAATATGTTTAAGGGCTATGAGATCAGGGTCTCCCACCTGCACCAGATGAAACAACACAATCTTTTAGTCTCCATAGGGGTAAGAGTCATAGTGAGGTGAAGCTTCATCTATAGAACTTTAAACTGAATGTCCTTATAGGGGTAATTTTACTTCATCCCAAAGAGATGATAGTAATAGTGAAAAATTTCATCTTTCAGGAAGACGAACAAGGCATTAATCCTCTTATTAAAGTTTGGAATTTAGATAAGGTAAATGCCGGTACACATTTTTTATAGTGTCTGCTTCATTAGCATCATCTTTCTTTTATCATATAGCAAGTATGATATATACAGATATACAGTGATTTACACCTACAGTATGTTTCTGTGTACAGATGTGTAAAATTTTCCTGTATGCAGTAGATTAAGAAACATAGTTTATCATGTGGTGTATAAATTATGCCTGTTACTTTGTGTTACAGATGGAGAAAGGTGGACCACTGTGTACTAGAATAAGCAGAGCCGTACCTAATAACAAAGCCACACCTGTATGTCCTTGTCACACTATACTAGAGGAAAGAAAAACATCAATTGTATTAATTGAGTCAAAAATCTCTGAGAATGAGAACTTCTGAAGATGAAGGCGTAAAAAGAGAAAGATACATGTAAAAAACATATTCCTCATCTTTGTTTTATTTTTAGGTCACATGCCTAACTGTTCATGAAAACTTGAATTGGATGGCTGTTGGGTTTGAAAATGGAAGTGTTCTTCTCTTCAAAGGGGATGTAACAAGAGACAGGTATCTTTCTTAAGCTTGTCCAGTAGATATCAGCATTAACAACAACTGTAACTGCTCTTGAAAGATGCATGAGTTTTTTAATTTTTCAAAACGTATCTGCATTATGGCAGCAAAAGTTCTCATTTCCTAAAGTCTCTCTCAAAAGCATCAACAAAACAAGAGGCCCAAGGATGCTTTGTGGCAGCTTAGTTTGGTTGAATGGTCCAGTGGTTCTGGGGAAGAAGAAGAAAATTTGAAAAGTTTACAATGACAGAAAACAGACAAATTTTGATAAGAAAAGCCCACTTGAACCCTGGCTAACAAAGAGAAAGAGGGAGAGAGAAATTGGGGGGAATGTTGAAAAGCAACCTGTTAATCCTCTTTAATTTCTTAACAGGCACAGTAAGTCCAGGATAGTCCATGAGAGCCCTAAGCCAGTGACAGCCCTGGAGTTTAAGACTCAGGGGAAGAATATTTTCCTGTTTGTGGTAACAGATGCTAATGTGATATCTATCAACATCTCTGGTAAACAGGATATCAAGGTACATAGTGTAATAGATATGTACATATAGTTAGTAATGCTAATGTGATATCTATCAACATCTCTGGTAAACAGGATATCAAGGTACACAGTGTAATAGATATGTACATATAGTTAGCAATGCTAATGTGATATCTATCAACATCTCTGGTAAACAGGATATCAAGGTACATAGTGTAATAGATATGTACATATAGTTAGCAATGCTAATGTGATATCTATCAACATCTCTGGTAAACAGGATATCAAGGTACACAGTGTAATAGACATGTACACATAGTTAGCAATGCTAATGTGATATCTATGAACATCTCTGGCAAACAGGATATCAAGGTACACAGTGTAATAGACATTTACATATAGTTACAGTCCCTGAAACGTTCTACTTTCCCACTTGAATGGTGAGCGAACGCTGAACAAACGCAGAGTGAATGGTGAGCGAATGCAGAGCGAACAGTGTGTGAACGATGTGTGAATGCTGAACGCAACTTGGTGAACGGTAGGTGAACGCTGAACAGTGAGTGAACGCAGAAAGCAAGCGCAAAGTGAACGGTGAATGAACCGTGAATGCAAGATGAATGATTTATTCGGAATGCCTCTGATCTTTTTCATGCATGGTATCTATTCTATTGTATTCTAATGCCAGGCGCAAAATGAATGAATAAATAAATATATAAATAAATATTCAAAAATTGTCCTAAGAAAGATGAAACATGCACATAAGTAAAACTATTTATTAAGTTTCTTACAATATTTTCTGCACATTTGTATGATGTTTAAATTCAGCTGTTTAATCACATGATTTTTATCGTTGTAAAACATAGTCATTGTTACTGAACATTGTAGTTTAAAAGATAGAATTATTCTAGTTGTAAAATAAATATGTTTATTCTTATTTGATGTATAAAACCATTACAAATAATGATTTTCGAAGAGGACAATTCTGACTTATAGAATGAATTACAATGGTTGTAACAACCATACACGCATTTCCATGTCAAGGCAATTCAGTGTAAAATAATGAGAAAAAAAAAAAATTTGCTATGGTCTGTGGTGGACGTATTGCAGTATACACTCGCATTTTAAAAATCTAATGCAATAATAATATTTATGTGTCTTCATTTTATAATGATGATTTATTTAGCAGACTTCTACACGTATCTGTAGACAGTTCCCGTGATTATACTCGGACTAGATGATACAAAGAAGCATTCATATTATTTGTTATAGATTAAATTTTCAGAAGTTGATATTTAAGCAATACGAGTCATAGTTTTGATTAAACGGACAAATAAGAGAGAGAGAGAGAGGGAGAGAGAGAGGTATATTACATTTTAGCCCCCCCTTTCCACAAATGCATGTACATGTACCTGTATAAACAAAAAATCTTAATTTTTATCTAAATATATCAGGCGGTGAAAGTAACCTTTTTTTATCAACAAATTCATTTTGTTTGACAGTCATAATCGGTTTTTATTTTTCTGCTTCAAGTTCACATGAAGTCCACATGTTTGTCCTGTCAATCAAAATCATTTGACACTGTGCAGGTGTGAAAGTCTCGTCACACTAAAGGCAAAGTGCTACACTGTAGTATTTCCAAGAAGTTTTAACATTTTTTATCATTTCTAGATCTGATTCCAACTTTTCCAACAAATAAATAAAATACATTGGGCATAAAGACTTGGAATGAATTTGAAACATACGCCCTGGCCAATTTAAAATACCACCGCCGTCGGCACGTGTATATTTTGAACTATTGTTTAATGACTCTTTTAGATGCATGTTTGTTTTGAGACTGAAATTTTTGTGCTACAAAGCGCGTTAACTTCTTTTTAAATATTAATCAAAATATACTGGAAATGCTGATTAAGTAAGGTGGAAAGGGGGGTCTTAATCATATCAACATGTAAAGTTATTGTGAAGTAAGG